CTAACATAATTTACAAAAAATATATATACTGTACTACAGTTTGATCCCAGTAATTCGAACATGGCCATTTTGAATTCCCTGTTATTTCGAACTCAAAACCATATCCCTAACGGATTTGCACCCAAGTTAAATACTATCAGCTAGCTATTTCAAACTATTTTTTTATTTTTCCTGAGGGTTCAAAATGGCAGGGTTCAATTGTATGTAAGAACAAAATTGTGCGTGAAACTTTGGGTTATTTCTTCCCAAAAAATTATAACTAATAAAAAATTTAGGGCAAAGAAATCTTTTCTCTTTCTTTTTTTTTTGTATTAAAAGCAGCATTTTTATGTATATAAGAATTTAGGATGAGAGCTCAATTCTCTGTAATAAAACTATCAACATCATTTACATGCATGCTAAAAAATTAGGACATAGCAGTTCTCGGCCCATCCAGTTTTCTGTAAAAAAAGATATCATTGACGTATTACATGTAAAACATTTGGATTGAAGAAATTCTTGCCCTGCCCAGTTCTCTAAAACACAATACCATTTACATACAGATAAAAGGCCTAGGGCAAAGAAGTTCTCGCCCTGCCCAGTTTTCTGTAGTAATAATATCATTTACATCCATATGAAAAATTTAGAGCAAAGAAGTTCTCGCCCTGCCCAGTTTCCTGTAATAAAAATATCATTTATCGCCATATAGATAAATAGACAGACAGATAGATAGATAGATAGATAGATAGATAGATAGATAGACAGATAGATAGATAGATAGATAGATAGATAGATAGATAGATAGATAGATAGATAGATAGATAGATAGATAGATAGATAGATAGATAGATAGATAGATAGATAGATAGATAAAAATAGGGTGAGGAAGTTCTCACCCTGTCCAGTTCTCTGTAATCATAAAAATATTTACATACTTACAAAAAAATTTAGGGCGAGGAAGTTCAAACCCAGCACAGTTCCCTGTAATCCAAATATCATTTACACATATTTACTATATGGCTTGTGTTTATAGCCAGTGCAACGCGTGCTCTGATCGAATAATTCTAGGGCATTATTCTCCCATAAAATGGGACGAAAAAAATATTTTAAGTGAACGTTGTTTGTCATCGATAAACAAGGAGAATGTAGAACTCTTTTAAAATGCATTAGTTCACCTGTTTTGTGCAGTTGGTAACGATGAGTGCATGGCCAGATAAGTGCTCCAATTAACAGATGGCTTTTTAGTTTTGATTTTGTTTATTAGGCCATATAATCGACTACTTATTAGCCTCGAACGTTCGGTCTTTACGGGAAAATCTCAAACCTCAGCCTTGCCATATTGACCTTGCTCTCGCTCGATCAATGCTGCAGGGTCTCGGTTTAAGATTTTTCTGTAAAGACATCATTCTTGGTTGAATAAGTAGTTAATAAAACTATTAGATCAAAGAAGAGGAGGGAGAGAGAGAGAGCAGGGAGAGAAAGCAGAGGGAGAGCAGAGTACTGTCACCAACTTAATTTTTTGTATGTATGTAAATGATATTTTTATTACAGAGAAATGGACAGGGTGAGGATAGTAATAGTCTAAACGGATCTTCGCCCGAACTTTTTTCTCACCCGTTTAGACTTTTCCCCGCTCCCACTAACTGCCCCTAGGTCTCCGAGGATGACGTCTATAATGATTGTCTTGAATTGACTCCATATTTACTAAGAAATTTTTAACTCGACAGTGAAAAAATATTCGAGGTACACCAACCTCTATTAAGCGGCCAACTCCTATTAAGCGGCCACCTCCCATTTCTCCTAGGGTAGCCCACTGTATTATATGTAAACCAAAAATAATTGCACAGCGCGAAAAGACCTAGGTACCA